ACCCGCCGATCGCCTATATGTGAAACACCCGGTAACGGGTGTGTGCATTTAGCGGGTCTTTTCTGCCCGTGCGTGCTCGCTAGGGGGCGCGCGCGAGCAGAAAAAAATTGCTGCAGTGCCGTCCGTCCGTTGCAGTGCTGCAGTGCCGTCCGTCCGTTTTTTTACTACGGGCGGACGGCAAGAGGTTAAATATCTGTCTTCTTTCAGGCAAGCAGTGGTAAAGATGATTATGTAATTATAAAACAGTATTGGAAAGACCAGATTATCATCTGGTCTTCCCAATGCAAGCAGTTTAGAAATAGAATAGAGTAAGAACAAACACTGCTACATGATGCAGCTTTTAATGCCAGTTTGAAAGCTGCATATCCCAGAATCCTGCACTGTATTATTGCTGTATTATCCCCCACCATTTTCATCAGAATGGGGCATTCATAGTAATCTTGGTTTTGATGTTAATCCGAAATGGTGGGTGGGAAAGCAGGGGGGTGGGGACTGATTTATAGAAAACTCAATTCCAATTCATAAATCTTCCCTAAACCGACATAATCCGCTGGCCGGGACCAGGACCAACAGAGGAGAGAGAAAAAGGTGGAAACGCATGATGGAAATAAAAAGACAAAAAAAAGACAGATGGGCCAGACTGCAAATAAAATGGGAAATGAAACAAAAGAGATAAAAAGTCACCACTGGAATAATTGTTAATATGCACTCTGCAACTAAACAGCCAAATGGAATGCTGCAAGAAATATGAATTAAGGCACACAAACAACTGAAAATATACATTTATTTAACAGAGCAACAGATCCAAGAATTACAACATAAACATAAAACTGGTTAACAACAATAAAAGTCAAACGTGGCGCTTTTACTATAAAAAATGACCCCACATTAGGAAAAGGGCACTTGCTAATGTTACAAACATTACAAAAAGTGGCACTTGCTGATGTTACAAACATTACAAAAAGTGGCACTTGCTGATGTTACAAACATTACAAAAAGTGGCACTTGCTGATGTTACAAAAAGTGGCACTTGTTGGTGTTGTAAGCATTTTGTTTAATTACCTTTAACACGTTGGTAATACATTGTAACCAAAAGCAGAAGAGAAACAAACACACTTGACATTTCACCACATTTAGGGGATTTGGAAAGGTAGACCTTCAGGAAGCGGGTTTCGCTGGAATGAAGATGGTATGTTCATGAAACGCTGCACAGTGCCACCACTTTTTTCCACCCATTCATTTAGAGTGCAGCGTTTAGATGGCTTCTTTCCACGCCTAGGATGATTTCTACAAGGCATCAAGAAAGATCAATTGGTGGCTGGCTAAACATCTATATTCCACAACTGTCAGATCAATTTGAAAACATACAAAAGACTAATTTAAGTCTTTAAAGTGATATTAAAGCTGCATTAGTTTTTTTAATTTTTATAAATAGGATGTCCATACTTGTAAAAATCCTTTGTTTTAATTAAAAATGTTCAGTTCCTCATTCTCTAGTGGATCCCTGCATAGCTCTTTCCTCTGCACTGGTGCCGCCATCAGCTAAGCAGCTGCTGTGGAGGCACCCATGCATGCTTGTTCCCAGCAGTGAACACAAATGTGGCTGTGTGTGTCCATCAATACACACAGCCCTACGGCAGGCCACGCCCCTCCTCTCCGCCCAACAGGTTGATGGATGGCAGAAGGAGCCTATGGCTCCTCTGCCCTCCATCTCCTCCCCTGCAAGCAGGAAGTTAGGGGCAAAGGATCGCTTCGGGGACTAGCGGCACTGACAGGTCGGTGGGGGGAGACAGAAAGGTACTGGACATTTTTTACCTTATTGCAGAGAATGTATCAAGGTAAAAAAAACGCCCTGAGCTTAGTAATCCTTTAAAGCAGAACTAAAGTTTGAAAATTGCACTTTTAAATTAGCTGGGATTATCTATGATATCTTGGAAATAAAGTGTATTCTATATTTGTTACATGTTCCCACTTGCATAGCATAAGCTAAACAAATATTTAAAAAATGCTTCTTGCAGTTTAAATTGTTGGGTTAGGATTTCTACTTGACTTCTTAAGGGTTAAAATTTCTACTTGCTTCTTCTTTGTAATGTTAAGAGGGGTTATGAGGGGATTATTAGCCCAGTCTATGCTGTGCTGGCTTTTTTCCATTATAAATTTGTAAAATAGATTTGGACACTGCCTGTCCTAACAAAGTAACCAGTTTTCTATCCATGTGCATACAATTTCGTCAATGCCCATTGACTGCACTTTGTACATTAAGCGCTTAAGGTACTCCATCAAATGCTTTTGCAAAATCCAGACAGACCAAGTCCACTGGACTTCCTTCCTTCCTCTAAATTGCTACTCACCTCCTCATGGAACAATAATAGGTAGGTTTGACAAGAACGGTCCTTTTATAAATCCATGTTAAAGTAGTAATACACTTTCAAACTTTTTTTCACTAATGAATGCTGATCAAACAAATATACATTGCCCAGCAAAGCATCACTTTACTTTTTTGCCAAACACTTACAATCATCACAGCTTCTTCCAAGTCTCTTAGCTCAGCTTCCCTGAACTTCCTATCCAGTACAAGATCACAAAGGACAGAGCAGACTCCAGCAACTGTTCATCTACTAGCATGGAGGAGCTGGCAAATTCTTACCATTCTGTTAAATACTACTGATGTTGGGCTGACTGGTCTGCAGTTTCCTGGTGTACATCTGGAGCCTTTTTGAATATTGGTAAAACATTTGCTTTACACTAATCAGTTGGTACCATTCCAGTCAGCAAGGTATCCTTGAAAATAAGGAACAATGGTCCCGCTATCACTTCGCTAAGCACTCCATGTACTTGCGGGGGTAAGTTATCTGGTCCTGGAGATTTATTTACATTAAGTTTTTCTAGTCTTTTCTGAATCTGTATTTCTGTTAGCCACTGGCGTACATTGCTATTAGCATTACTTTGTTGTTTATTAACCAGTTGACATCCGCGGTGTTAAACCCCCTTCCCATCCAGGCCATTTTTCAGTATACCTTTTTGTTTGTATAAACTGATGAGAAGAATATGTTACCTCTGCCTTCTCCCTATAATTTGAGATCATCTTTCTATGCTCATCAAAGTGATATTTCTGTTATATTTTATGCACAAAAAGGTGGAAAAAGGAAGCTTTACATGTTTTTCCTGACGTGATTTTAATATAAAAAGGTTTGTATATTTTGTATAATTGTACGTGGCAGCTTTAAATAATCACTTGGTTTTAATACACATAGCCCAGAGTCTTTGTTAAGTGAGTAATGATACAGTGTAGTAAAACTAGAAAAAAAATACTTCTCTTTGCTGCTAAAGCAACCCATTGGTCACATGACTAAATGCAGGAAAATTTGTAAAGTAGTTTGGGGTTTCTGTTAAATTTTGTCCTACATAATGACAATATAAATATTAAAGTGAAGAGAATTACTCTATAATGTCCAAAATTTTGAGCTGTCATCAGAACAGGAATAGAGTGTAAATCTTCCAAGTGGTACACTACTTCCATTGACAGCTGTCTAAAAGGGTATTTACCTCACTTTGGAGAGATCTCCCCTTACTCCATCTTCTGTCTATAGACAAGAAGTAAAGGGAAATCTTCCCAATGGGACCCAGATGGCACAAAACATGACAAGCGTTTTAACTATCCCTTACTCAATCCAAAAGGAAAGGAAAGTTTTGGCTTTAGATATAAACTTCAAGGGCCTCTTTACACTGTAGTGATCAATTGTGGTGTGTTACAGCATGTGCATTAACCTGAGCTATTTTTTGTGAAGCCAACCTAAATGCCTGTTTCATATTTTTGGTGGGACTAAACTATAAATGTTTGGAGCAGACATGAAAAAAAACTGAAAAGAAAAAGGTGAAAGAAAAAAAAGGAGGAGCTATTGCCTAATAATGCTTTATTTTTTAACATCTGAAAACATTAAACGAGAACTATGGGGTAACCTTTTTATACCATAGTTCTCTTTAGGGTCACAGGAGGACATATACTAATGTCCTCCCGTGACCCCAAAGCTCAGTATACAAGCTGGCTATATAGTAAGAGGTCCGCCGCCAGGACAGATCCCGTCAATACTATCGAGATCCACCCAGCTGGCTGATTGACAGCGGGCTCTGCCTATCTAGAGCCCACCCCCTCCCTTGTCCGTTCCTCCAGTCAGTGCGGAAGGATCGGAGAGGGGAGGGAGGAATCCCACCGGGGAGCGATGACTGACAATCACTGCTCTCTGCAGGGAGATTACTGAGAAGTGAGGGAGCGACAGTATGTGTTCACTCACTTCCCGATCAACAGAGCCAACCTGTGACAATTTAATTGTCACACGTCGGCTCTAACTATGAGTTTGGGTGAAAACAAATTACTGTATAACTGTTACTATGGGCAGCCACTTTGCTTTTGTTCCTTTTCTCCAGTAAATAGTCCTATGACTCAACTATTAAAAGGAGAACTATGGGGTTAGGGCTTTTCCCCATAGTTCTCCTAAGGGTAACGGGAGGACACAAACTAGCGTCCTCTCGTCACCCAAAGCTCAGTATACCGTGAGCTACAGCTCGCGGTATACTGATACGCCGCAGCTGAAACGGATCCCGACAATTCTGTCTGGATCCACCCAGCTGCGTGAGTGACAGCTGGCTCGGCCTATCTAGAGGCAGAGCCAGCTGTACCCGCCCCCTCCCCTGTCCGTTCCGCCAGTCAGCGCTGGAGGATCGAAGCGGGGAATCCAGCCCCTCCCCTGTCACGGCTCTCTGCAGTGACGGGATCGAGAAGTGAGTGAGCGCCGGTATGTGGTTGCTCACTTCCCGATCTACTGAGCTGACCTGTGACAATTTCATTGTCACAGGTCGGCTCAGATTATGAGGCTGAGTGAAAATCACTCACCTCATAATTCTCCTTTAACAGGAGGTGGGTGAAGAAATCACACCTAACTAGACATGTTTGAAGGCAGTTGGAAATCATACACAGTACTCTGTTCCTGAACTGAAAACCATTTAAAAGGAACCTAACAGCTATTTCAAGCTATAATAAAAGCTCTGCCTAAAAGTAGGCTCTATCTGACTTGGCATGTAGTGGAGGGGTCAATTCTTTGTAAAGCTGGGTTTACACATGTATTTTTTTCGTTCAACCTGGGGACTGGACAAAAAATACAGAGCAGATTCCTCCATCAATGATAAGTGTTGACGGACGAATCCCCTTCTGTTTCCTTTGGTGGATTTTGCCTGCTTCATCAACTTCAAAAACATACATTTACAGAGGTATAACCGAATACAGAGAACAACAAATTTTTGTCCTTCATCTGCCTGGTCTCAAGCTTTAACATCAAATTGAAGAATATTTATAAAATACTAGACTGCACAGCAACCTAGGTACTTTTATTTTATAGATTCATCTAGCGACAGATACAGCTGCAGATGTATTAAGGCTCCTCTTTTTATCCAGAAGACATTTTTGTTAACCTTTACTCCTGCTTTTTACCTTAACACATGCAATACTTCCATTACCACAAAATGACCTGGAAAAGATTTTTAAAAAATTGTACAGCCAGCATAATCATGGGTGAACAGGCTCTTCCTACCTTCTAGAGAAATCCGAGGGATGCTGCCAGTTTTGATTCTGTGTGCTGGTTTGGTTCAATAAAAAGGCCAGCTCATGAAGGGGAACTGTTGATACCAACAAAAAGAAAAACAAACACCTCTGAATCAGACATAAATTTATAAAACTGCCAGTAAACCTATAGTTGTAAGCAGCAGCCCTGTATGTTGAAGGCAAAAAGCTAGAACTGTGTAATTATAGACCAGTAAGCCTGACTGTGCAGGCACATGTGAATGATTTTAAAGTATTCTGAGAAGGAACCAATAAAAAAGCAAACAATATATTAACAGAAAATCAGTATGGGCTTATGAAAGATAGGTCTCATCTAACACTACAGTTTTCTGATCTCATCTCATGCTATAGATTGTACCTGGAGGAAATTTACAGCCCAACTCCAGGCACAATAGTCCTACTGGAGTACGGTAGCTTGTACAGCGACTGTTACTAAAACTCACCTACCATATTCAGTACTGGCTTCTTCTCCCCACAAATCATCAGTATACGTGCAGATGCAGGTCCAGATCCCACTGAAATTATGTGCCTACTCCAGCTGTAGCACTGCAGATCCCATAGACCTCAATGCTGTGGTTGCATCTCTTTCCCCATCTCCTCCTAGCCAATCACAAAGCAAATGGCCTCAAGCTCCATTTAGTTATTGGCTATGAGGAGATGTGGATGGAGATATGACCGCATTTTTCTGTACTTCTCAGCCTAAAACCAAAACCTAACAGTATAATTTTTTCTCTCTAACAGCTAAAGCTAATAGTGTTCACCTGGCATACAATGTCATTGTCACTAAGTGTCACAGTTAGTGACAGCAACATACTTTGAACATCAGTGTCATGAGGGGGTTAAATAAAAAGAATTAACCTCTTAGGGTGAAAAACAAATCTGCAGATTTTCATTGTAATTTTTATATTAATGATAGTATAAAAATATATAATTTTTATTTGTTACTTTTTTATACACTTTTCAGTATTTAAAAAAAAATGTTTTACATTTTTATTTTATTATTTTAAGCAGTCATTGTGAATTAATCTCACTATTACTACTTGATCATTTAATTAATTTATGGTTATTATTGGGCTGCTTCAAACTTAAGAACAGCCAAATAATAACCTTAGTGACACTGATCCTGCAGCATTTCAGGATCAGATGTTACTAAAGGTTTTCTGATCGTTCCAACAATGATCAGAAACCTGCAACATTATTTCAGCAATAGAAACATGTGTCTAAATGTTTCTATTGCTGAATCTATACCAGCTGTTAGTGACGGCTAGAGCTGCAAATGCGGCTCTGCTCTCACTGTCAGACACCCGATTCCTGAAAGGGATCGGGTGTCTGAAAAAGCTCAACTCTTTCATTAATGAATGCCTCAATACTGAATTAATGAATTCAGTTAATTACCATTAATGGATGGTAACCGCTGATTGTCAGCGGTTAACAGCATTAGAGAGCCCCAAATAGCTGATCACGTATACAGTGTACGTGGCCAGCTATTTTGGCACTTCGTGGCGGGATGTACAGTGTATGTCTACTGTCACAAAGGGGTTAAAATGTCACTTTATTCATAGGACAATGTTTTTACCTTCTGATGTATTTGCTCCCTCTGAAGCCTGGATATGCATTAAAACCTGATCAAGGTAAAGGTTTTTACCACATTCCAGTTGAGGAGATAGAAATAACCTGAAATACATAAATAATTAGATAATAAAACATGAATCAGGTGAACAGTAAATTAAACAGAGCCTGCAGATGAATCAAGCTGAATACCTGAGATATACACATACACGTGAACACTGGGACAAATGTTTACAGCTACAGTGCTGGAAGCTTACTACATACAAGAAAGGAAGAATCATGGCTGGATCAGCATGCGTAAGGACAAGAGCTATCAGCTGTTATGGATTACAAAATATTATATTATTACTAATCATGTTATAAAACAGTCCTGTCTATCCTGGTACTGAATAGGAATCTCTGTGATAGAAAGGAGTAGTGATGCACCAGTCATAGAGACAGCACAAACCATAGCATCAAAGTCTGAAAGCTGAGGGCTGAAAAAGTTTGCAAAGATTTACATACAGAAAAAAAAAGCTCAGATTTTCAAGAGTTGACCTCGGCATGCCTTGATATGGTTTTACAAAGGAAATTGTAATAACACGTACCACTGTTCATGAGCAAGGATATAAAGTTCTACCAGACATTTATGCAGACTGCACAGGCTCCCACACAAATCCTGTTTGAGAAAGACTTTCAGTTTGATGTAGTCTTTTGTTCTCGATTAATTCACATTAGTCCAACCTACAAGCAAATTAAAAAGTAGACCTTGCACCATTGTGTCCCCCTTGATAAAACACAGAGGGGGGAATTTATCGAAACTGGTGGGAATTTATCGAAACTGGGGGGAATTTATCGAAACTGGAGCAGACAAAATCTGGAGCAGATTTTTGTTGTAACCAATCAGCATCTCTCTCTCGTTTTCAAATCTTAACTGAGCAAACTGAAGAGAGATGCTGATTGGTTACTGTGGGCAACTGCTCCAGATTCTGTCTGCTCCAGTTTTGATAAATTTCCCACAGTGTGTATTAAAAAACAACAAAAAACAAATCACCTGTAGGGGAGAAATGTCACATAGTATAGTCCCCTTTTCTCTGGCTTTCTCCTGCGTCGCCTAGGCGAGGGTAACGTCATTCTCTTTCTGGCGAGATCTTGGTGAATGTAGAGTAGCCCAAATCTTGCTGGGAAGATGCTTTTATGACTATGCTCTAGGATCTTCTCGCAAGACTTGAAGTACATAACCTACATATGGTTTTTTACACTTGATTTTGAGTTTCAGCAAGGAGGTGGGGAAACACATTCTTTAGAGAAAAGTCTGCTTTAAAAGGAAAACAAGTACAAAGTGCAATACAATACATTACAAAAAGGAGAAAGAGAGAGAGAGGGGGGG